TATACATAAGAAATTGTTCAGTATTAGCTAAACGATGAATTAATTACAAATCATGCTGTTAAAAAAATAATTAAAAAAAAAAAATCATCCAACAAGAGGGTCAGTTGCAACACATCCAGCATCGCCAGGTATGTCAGATATGCAAGTGCAAAGTGCTGATTACCGGCAACACCTGCGTTGTAGCATTCGTTATCGCTACGAAAATGGCCGAAGGAACGCCGGCCCTTCGATCGATAGCGTTATTTCGATTTCCTGTTGAACGAATCACTCGATTGCTAGAAAACAAAAGAAATTAAGAAACGAAAGAACAAAAAGAAATAAAAAAACAACGAAAAACGGGTATTGTGGTTTTAATTGTCGGATGAATGGTCGTTTGATGAGCTTAGTAATGATCGCGATGGAAAGGATGACAATCACGATAATGATGGTAATACTGATAATGATTATGGTAAGTGATAGTAAGTGTAAGGATAATGGTAAGGGTAAGGAGAGGAATGAATATGGGGGAAATGATGATGGTGGCAACAACAGTAATAGGAATAAGAATAATAGTGATAGCGATAATAGTAATAATAATAATGATAATGATAACTATGATAATGATGATAATAATGATAATAGTAATGATAATGGTAATAATGATGATAATATTGATAATAATAATTATGATTATGACAATAATAATGATTACTAGTAATAGTAATAATAGTAATAGTAAAAATGATAATTATAATAATGATAATAACACTAATGATAATAAGAACAACCATAAACAATAATGACAACAACAGCAAGAAAGACCATATTAATTCAGTCAACCCCCTCCCTGTCCCCCTTACCCCCCTACCACCCCCTCCTGACCCCTCCCCCCCCCCAAAAAAAAAAACCCTAACCCGAAGGTGTTATCGGCGCCCCTCGAAGAACCCAAGACGTTTTACACTTCCCAAACACGTCGGATAATTGGACCAACTTCCGCAACACCATAAACTACGCATCTCGTGTGGCGACCGATCCATCAAGGCGATCAATTCCTTGTCAATACGTAAAAAAAGGGGGGAGGGGGGAGGGAGGGGTTGAGGGGGGGGTACCTTCGTCCCGGTTTCGTTGTCCGCGTGTTGTTTCTCCCGGTCTTCTGGCTTCCTCCTTCTCCTCCTTCTTTCCAAATCTTCCATTCGCCACAATTCGCCAACTCGCAACAATTCGCCATCACTGCAACTCGCCAACACTCGCCAATTCGTTCGCCAATTCGCCAACAGCTCGCCTCTTCCTCCTCCAACTTGCCAACAACTCGACAACTAGCTAGCATTTCTCCAACTCGCCTCTTCCTTATCCAACTCTCCAACTCGCCATCTCGCCTCCTCCTTCCCAACTCTCCACTCACTCGCCAACAATTTACCAGCAATTCGCCAACACTCCAACTCGCCAACTAACCAACTATTCGCCAATTCGCCTCCTCCTTCTGCAACTCGCCAATACCTCGCCAACTCGCCCCCTCTCCTCCAACTCGCCAACGCCAACTCACTCCCTCTCCTCCAACTCGCCAAACTCGCCCTCCTCCCCAAAACTCGCCAACTCACCCTCCTCTCCAACTCTCTCACCCCCTCCTCCTCCAATCTCGCCAACTCGCCCCCTCCTCCTCCAACTCGCAACTCCCCTCCTCCTCCAACTCGCCAACTCACCCCAACTCGTCCTCCTCCAACTCGCCTCACGCCCTCTCCTCCAACTCGCAACTCACCCCCCCTCCTCCAACTCGCCAACTCACCCCTCCTCCTCCAACTCGGCCAACGACTCGCCCGGGCTCCGCTAACGAGCCAAACCAAACTCGGAAAAGTCGGCAATTAGTTCTGTAAAGGCGGAAAATGCATTATTAAGTCGCCGGGAGCACAACAGATGTACAGTTTCTCACGCGACGTTTGCCGTATCGATTGCGTCTCTCCGGCGATTTGGGGGGGGAGGGGGAGGGGGAGGGGGGGGGGGGTAGGGGTAGGGTTGCTTGGGTAGGGTAGGTGGGGGGGGGAGGGTAGAGTGGAAGTTGGGGGGATTGTTTGGGTGGGGGGGAAGGGGTTAGGGGGGTTGGATTGAAGGGGGAAGGGGGGGTAGGGGAGGGGGACTCGCTTAGACCCGTTGTGGTGGTTGTGGTTGCGATTGTGATTATCGCCATTGTCTTCATCATCGAGATTTTGATTGTTATGGTGTAGGGTTGCTTGGGTAGGGTAGGTGGGGGGGGGGAGGGTAGAGGGGAAGTAGGGAAGGTTTGGTGGGGGTTTGGGGGAAGGGGGTGGGTGGGAAGGGGAAGGGGGGGTAGGGGGAGGGGGGCTCGCTTAGACCCGTTGTGGTTGTGGTTGCGATTGTGATTATCGCCATTGTCTTCATCATCGAGATTTTGATTGTTATGGTGCTACAGCGTTCCTGCTTATCATTATCGCCTTTATTGTTTAACTTTCATATTTGTTAGCATTATTGATGTTTTTGTTATTGTTGCTGTGATATTTCTATTATCATTATTACTGTCATGATTATTATTATTATCATCATTATCATCATCATATCATCATTATCATTATTATTATCACTACTGTTATCGTTATTATTATTATTATTAATATTATTATTATTATTATTATTATCATTATTATTGTCATCGTTGTTATTGTCATCATTATCATTATTATTATCATTATTTGTATTATTATTTTTTGTTACTATCATTGTTATTATAACTATTGTGGCTGTTGTTGTTGTTGTTGTTATCACTATTGTTATCAATATTATTATTATCATAATTATTACTATTATTATTGTTATTGCTGTTGTTGTTATTATTATCATTATTATTATTGTTATTATCATTATTGTTATCATTACCATCACCATTATTATTGTTGTTATTATTATTACTATTATCATTGCAGCCATCATTATCATTACCATCATTAGTATTATTAGCATCATTATTATTAGTGTTGGTGTTAAGTGCTTATATTTTTTTATCATTACTTTTATTGATATTATCATCAGTATCACCGTTATTATTATTGTTGTTGCCATTATTATCCGCTTTACTAGTGTCATTATTATCATTATTAGTATCATCATCATTATTATCGTTATCATTTTTACTATTGCTGCTATCAGTAACTTATTATCGTTGTTTTGTTGAATTTTGCACATGGTTGTTGTCCGTGATTTTTTTTTGTTTTGTTCTAGTTGTCAGTGATATCAGGGGTGTTTTACAGTGTTATTTTTTATTTTTCTATTTTTTTCTATCTTATTATTATTGTTTGTCTATTTATTTGTTTGTTTGTTTTTATTTGTTTTGTATGTATGGGTTATTTGTTCGTTGTGTATCCTTTTCTATTTGTTCTATCTTATTATTAGTGTTTGTCTATTTATTTGTTTGTTTGCTTTTGTTTGTTTTGTATGTATGGATTATTTGTTTGTTGTGTATAGTATGACATTTTTTGGTGTATAGCATTTTGTAAAAATAGATAGATAAATAGATGAATCAATGGAATATATCTAAATAAATCTTCTCGGCCTTAAGATCCGTGCTCTCACCGCCGTCTCGCCTCCCTCCCTCAGGCGACCACTTCGGGATGCGCGACGGGGCCGTCTACTGCCGCCCGCACTACGAGCTCATCCTCCAGTCGGAAGCCGAGATGGAGGCCGTGGGCGTGAACCCGGGCATGGCATACCCGCCCCTCTCCCCCGCCACGCCCCGCCTGGCCTACTACAACGGCGTGGGCGCGGCGCAGAAGGGCCGCCCACGCAAGAGAAAGCTACCCACGGAGGATATGCCGCCCCTCACGCCCCTTACGCCCGGCATGGGTGAGTGTTGAAGCCCTCGGGCGTATGTGGGTGGGCGCTGCTGTGCACGGGGAGGGCTGAGGGCGGGCGTCTCCATTGAAAACGTGTATTTGTCCCTTTAAATCTTGAAAGGCGCCTAAAAGTGGATTTTTTTTTTTTCTGTTTATCCGCCTTTGGCGTGTTCTCGTGCGCGTTGGCGACAGGAGGGCGGGGTTGGGTCGCTGGAAGGCTCGGCGAAGGCGGGGCCACAACAACCTCCCCAACGTAAGGGCGAATCGAAACACGAAAGGGGAGATAGGGAGAGGGGAATAAAAAGAGAGAGGGAGAGGGGAGAGGAGGATAAGACGGGGGGAGAAGGAGGGAGAGAGGAGAGGGAGTAATAGGAGAGAGGAGAAAGGGGGATGAGACGGGTGAGAAGGAGGGAGAGAATAGGAGATAGGAGAGGAATAATAGGAGAGAGGAGACGGGTGAGACAGGTGAAGAGGAGGGAGAGAGGAGAGGGAAAGGAATGAGACGGAGTGAAGGAAGGAGGAGAGAGGAGAGGGAAAGAGGGGGATGAGATTGGGTGAAGAATAGGGGGAGAGAGGGAGAGAGAAAGGGGGATAAAAGGGTGAAGAGAAGGAGGGAGAGAGGGACAGGCAAGCATGAATGGAGGGCAGCTCCTGGGGGGCGGGGTGGGTGGGTGAGGAGTACGCAGGACCTTGTGAAGGTGAGTAAATCTGGCATCTTGGGTAATCTGTATTGCTGTCATTAATGTTTCTTATTGGATTTCTCTGATTTTATCATCTGAAAATTGCTGAAAATTTAAAAGTAATTATTATAACATCAAAAACATCACCGGCAATAAAGGAAGTGATAATAGTAATCATAATGGCGAAGGGACTAATAAAACCCAGGTCCCCGCTAATTCCTGGCATGGATACAACAGCAACATACGACGGCATCCATAACAAAGTTAGCAAAGGGACTAATCGGCCATGCACCTCCCTTCCACAGAGCAGCAGAGCGCCGTTGCTCTACTCCCTCGCCTGCTTTTGCTCCGTGCGCTTGTGTTTACTCTTTTTCAATATCCGCGTTTATGGTGTCTTCGTAAATTCTCGGATTTACCGGCCTTTAAGCTGACAGACTGAGGGAGACCTTGGACAATGAACGTCGAGGGGAAAAGGAAAGAGAGGGTCGTGGGGGGAGGAGGG